GCTCATTTACACACTTTTCCTGAAGATAGAAGAGTTTGTTGAATCTGACGTGACATGTTCGTACGAACCCTTTGTACGAACAAAAGTAAGAAATTTAGGATAAGAATACGAACATGTTCTTGCATGAGGCCCAATGACTCAAGATTCGGAAAATAATTTAGTTTAGATGTGAAAAATGACAAACACAAACAAGTTTTCTCAAAACATTTTATTTAGATGTCAGAACGAGCCAAGTTTAAAGTAAATGACAAAGTGAGCGGACGTTTGGTGAACGGATGAAGGGACATGGCCTTTTGCTAAATGAAGGAATGGGGCCCTTGGCTAACAGACTTAAGTCATCTGTCCATTAATTATCTTAACAGTGTATTATGCTAGAAGATGAAAAGAAAATATTTTTAAACTAATTAATGGTCTACTTACTGAACGGACAGGTTGCTATCTGATGATGGGTGATCATGTTCAGTGGATCTTTTGTAGTGATCCTCTCTACGACCTGTGCAGAAACAAACCTAAGAACCAATTCATAAAAGCTCTTTGGAGTTAAAAAAAAACTCGTCTTTTGTTTGTGGCTGCTGGTGTTCGCCACATGAGGCTGAGCTCTGAAGTGTGTGTGATGTTCCACCGGCCTGCAGACGCTACCAAGCAACAGACAAGACGACTAAGTGAATCACGGTGAGGGCCATCTGGGGAGCTGAATGTGTCACGCTGTGCCAAGCTGCAGAAAAATAACTCATCATCACTCTGTCCTCTGAGGAAGATGGGAGGCAGAGGGAGGCAGCGGCAGCCGAGCCAGCGCCGCTCACAATCCATCATTATTATGTGAATAACCTGAGATGGGTGAATCACCACCTGGCTCTTCATTGTCTGCACGCTGATGGGCGTTCTGACACACTGACTTTGTTTCTGCATCAATGTCAAGTTCAATTTATTTAATTTTACAGTTGCATCATTAATCTCCCAGCAGTTAAACCGGGAGGGGGGACACTCAGGTTTGATTGATTTAAAAACGCACCACGCCATCTTGTACACATTTTTAATTCTTTTTAAGGTCACCATCGTCCAAACGCTGCTTTCACTAAACTGTAACTTATTTTTAGGTGCTTGTCGATTTCCTTGGCTAAAAAAACTTAGGTGGTGGTTGGCATCCTGCCACAAACTCTGCAAACAATTTTTTATTAAATCACATCATGGGGCGGCTGTGGCAGAGTGGTTAGGGGAGTCGTCCTGGACCCAGAAGGTTACCATTTAGGGCTGTGTATTGGCAAGAAATTGTCGATACAATACATATCATAACAGAGGGGTCACGATACGATATATCCCGATATATTGCGATACTGTAAGCAAGGCGATATATTGCGATTTTTTTTTTTGCCCAAAAATTCTATTAAATAAAAACCTCTTACCAAAAAAAATTGCCTCAGAAATTCTAATACTACAGACCTACTTTGGATACATTTAGCTGTGTTCTGCTTTGTATGTGTTTTATTTTATTTGTTTCATATTTCTTATTTCATCCACGTTTTCATCTATTAGACATGCGCTATATGCATGCCTGCCTGCCTGCCTTCCATAACGTTGGAAAAAAGAGCGCACAAAACACTTAATTTGGCTTAAAATACAGACATTCTGATAAATAACTGTTTGTAACCTTACCTCAGCTTAGAAGGCAGAGGGTGTCGGTCTTTTCTGCTCAGATTCAGCTATCGGAGCATGAAGCTAATGTTTACTCACAATGCTAATGCTCTCTAAATGGCTGGCTCACTGCTGCCAACTAGTGGTCAGAGGCTGAACTACAACATAAAAATGAATGGCTGGCAGGAAAGTTGACATTTTAAACCTTAATAAAAAAAAATCGATACAGGACTTTAGAATATCGATACAGTATCGGGAAATGAAATATCGCGATATTTCAGTGTATCGATATTTTCTTACACCCCTATTACCGGTTCGATCCCCGTTCCATTTCATTCTAAAGCAAGATACTTCACCCACAATGCCTCTGATATGTGTCCCATCAGTGTGTGAATGTGATTGGYACTGATTAGTCTCCATAGGTGATTGTAAATGTTAGCTTTGTAGAGACCTAATAGGGTGCTGTGTGAATGGGTAAATGAGGGCACAGATTGTAGTGAGAAGAGCTTTCGGTATCCTGATTGGATAGAAAGCCACTATACAAGTACAGTCCATTTATCATTTACATATTAAACTGCAATATGAGGTAAAATATAACCAAACATATAAAACTAACATTGATTTGAAGAAATGCATATCCCCCGCCGCAATGCATGATCTGTTTGTATCAAATGGCTAGCTTGACGCTAATAGAAGCAGAAAACTAGCTAAATTGTGAAATAGCTAACTAAAACCACGAAGGCCAGCTCTGTGCCGGGATGCCCCCTCGACCCAGTGCAGGTGGTGGGACTCTGGCAAAAATAACATCAGTGACAGAGAACGTCTTCCACCCAATGCATGGAACTGTGGCTGAACTGCAGAGCTTCTTCAGTGACAGACCGCTGCATCCTAAATGCACAACGGAGCGTTACCGCAGATCCTTCCTCCCATCAGCTGTTAGACTCTATAACCATCACTGCTCCCAACAATCTCAATAAGCATCCATGTTTGTGTTTGCACATCAAACAAGTCTACCTCGCAATCATTACATAAATAATAACCAGTGGTAATTGTACATCGTTTTTCCTGTACTGGAACACTRACTTAATGATTGAGTTGGACACATTTTGCACACCCCCTCAGATTGACTGTTTTTTCCTGTAATTTCATATTTTTCCGCACAGTATCTTTTTTATTTTCATTTTTATCTAATTTCATCACGATAGTCCGGTACAGTAATTATTATTCTTATTTTTCTTTTGATCTATTTACATTTTTATTGTTTCTATCTTTAATTATATTATTGTTGCTACAGTTGATAATGTCACATGGCAATATACTGTTTCTGTGGATTGATGGATGTATCTGCTGCTACTACACCTGAATTTCCCCGCGCGGTACAATAAAGGCTGTTTCTATTCTATTCTATTCTAAAAGCTAAAACTGCAAGGTAAAATATTCTGTTCTGGTTGAACTGGTCTTCAGGACTTTACAGTGAGAACATTTTTAAAGTGAGTGCAGAGAGACCACGGCGCTAACTCCCTGAACGCCGCTGATCTGTGAGGGATGACGCTGCAGCTGACAGGCCGGCCAGGAAGGAGGCCGCCTGCTGGGCCGTGAGTCACTTCAATCTGGACTGCAGCGAGACTCCCAGCGCCTCCGGGCAGAACAGAATGACGATCCAGACTGCACTATGACAAAACATCCCGTCATGCAGGGGGAGAGAGAGCAGAGACACAGCAGGTGAGCCAGGCGTGTCTGGCTGAATCACGGTCCGGCCCGGTTCATGCAGGCGGACGCTCGCGCGAGGCCCGGTCACCCGACCTCATCCTCTGCCCCTGTTTCCACGCTGAAGAACACTGTTTGATGGCTGCTCAGCTGAAACCTGTTAGAATAAATCCTGTTAGTCTCATAAAAGAGCTAAATGTGAGAATTTGCATGAATAAAATTAAGACGTGCAAATATACTAACACCTTTTATGACTTTATTTCAAGATGGCTGCCACAGCCACATATTGCAACATGATTTATGTTCTTTATTTTAATCTACACCGTACCTCATTATCCCTTTGACCTTCTCACTAAGAAATACATTTGTAAAAATGTTAGTACATTTACCARTAATTGCAAAAGTCACAATGCATAGTTATTTAATTTGTTGGGCACAGTTCTGCTAATCTGCTATTAGCAAAGCTAACTTTTCATTCAACGTTTTCCCGAAACTGTCAGCAGTCTAATTAGCTTCCACTACATTAGCCAAGGTTTTTGTCAGGATTTTGACATTTTTGAGGATATCGCATATGTCTGATTTAAATAACAGATCTTGAGTTAGCGGTTGATAGTTAGCATTAGCGTCCCTTAATCTTCTTACCTGTTTAATGGTTTAGCATTTGCAAAGCAATTTTTTTTAGTTAGCTTAGCTAACTGCCAGTCAGTTAACATTTTGGTTAGCTGTGCCCACCACTGGTTATTTAATTTATTTTTGATAAGTGATGGAAACTGTGTGAACTGTTAGTATTCTGCTTTGTGAGCTGTTAGCTTTTGAGCTGTTAGCATGTTACCATGTGTCGTGTTAGCTTGTTACCATGTGTCCTGTTAGCATGTGTCTGTTAGCATGTTACTGTGTGTCCTGTTAGCTTGTGTCCTGTTACCATGTGTCCTGTTAGCATGTTACTGTGTGTCCTGTTAGCATGTGTCTGTTAGCATGTTACTGTGTGTCCTGTTAGCTTGTGTCCTGTTAGCATGCTACTGTGTGTCCTGTTAGCATGTTACTGTGTGTCCTGTTAGCATGTTACTGTGTGTCCTGTTAGCATGTTACTGTGTGTCCTGTTAGCTTGTGTCTTGTTAGCTTGTTACTGTGTGTCCTGTTACCATGTGTCTGTTAGCATGTTACTGTGTGTCCTGTTACCATGTGTCCTGTTAGCATGTTACATGTGTGTGATGTAATATGTTATAACATGTTCCATGTGTCTTTTCAGAGCCTTTCAGAGAACGTGGAGCTCCATCCATCAGGCTCAGCCAGCCAACATGGCCTCCAGCCTTTGGACTCGGACCTCTCTCAAGGTAAGGACTTGTAGTCTACGAGTTGATGAAGAACACAGTGATGATTTGTTAAACTGACAGGTGCAAACCAACTAACAAGAGTAGAAAAGATGCCAGCGCTGCTGTAATCGCCCACACAGAGCTGAGTGTACACACAGACTGAGGCCTCCAGGTGCTGCCAAACCTGCCTACAGTCAGCTGCCTGTGGGCGGATCTGCTCTCTGTCTGCATTTATCAAGGTTCTGTTAATAAAACAGGTGGGAGCTCAAACTGCACATAATTACTCTGAAGTGGCTGAGATGAGATCAGTTTAAGTTCTGATGAATATGGCTGCTGGGAGAGTTTCTGATGGGCTTCATTGAGATATACAAAACCTGAACATCCTAATGTAGATAGATAAATCTTTATTGTCTTTGTTGCACTGAAAAGAACACTGCTGTCCACAGACAATGAACAAAAGTATTTTTGCAGCTCCCGTAGTGCAAATAATCAGAACATTAAAAAAGGTCAAATAAGAGGTAAAAAAAAAAAACAAAGTAAGATGAAGATAAAAATGTAAACAACAACCAGTAGTAGCCACATCAGTGTTCATAATATATGAACATCCATCCATCCATCCATCAACCATCAGTCATCCATCCTTCCATCCATCCATCCATCCATCAGCCATCAATCATCCATCCATCCATCCAGCCATCGTCCATCAATTCATCCATCATCCATCCATCAGTCATCCATCCATCCATTAGCCATCAGTCATCCATCCATCATCCATCCATCAGTCGTCAGTCATCCATCCATCATCCATCCATCAGTCATCAGTTATCCATCCATCATCCATCCATCCATCCATCCATCCATCCATCAATCATCCATCCATCCATCCATCCATCCATCAATCATCCATCCGTCATCCATCAATTCATCCATCCATCAATTCATCCAGCCATCATCCATCCATCCAACTATCCATCCATCCATCCATCATCCATCCATCCAACTATCCATCCATCCAACCATCCATCCATCCATCCATCCAAATATCCATCCATCATCCATCCATCAATCATCCATCCATCCATCCATCCATTCATCCATCATCCATCCATCCAACTATCCATCAATCATCCATCCATCCAACTATCCATCCATCATCCATCCATCATCATCCATCCATCATCCATCCATCCATCCATCCATCATCCATCCATCCATCATCCATCCATCCAACTATCCATCCATCCTTCCATCCATCATCCATCCATCCAACTATCCATCCATCCTTCCATCCATCATCCATCCATCCAACTATCCATCCATCCAACCATCCATCCATCCATCCATCATCTATCCATCCAACTATCCATCCATCATCCATCCATCCAACTATCCATCCATCATCCATCCATCCAACTATCCATCCATCCAACCATCCATCCATCATCCATCCATCCAACTATCCATCCATCCATCATCCATCCATCCATCCATGAATAAATCAATAAGATAATAAAATGAATCAGTTTATATTAAAACTGTTTGTCTTCATGTTTTTCATTCTGTGAATGTTTGAATCAAACTTCTGATCCGACGTGTCGTTTGTTGTGTTTCTGACCTCAGCTCATGTCTGAGACACTGACGCTGCTGTGATCAGAGTGAGGGTGGTCACAGAGTGCACGTGTTGTTTTAGAGAGCGTATGTGGAGCAGCCTGTCCGTGCACGTTGGTGTGTGCGCCGTGTGATTCACGCCTGCCACAGACAAACATGTCGGCATGTTTGGTGCCGTCTCCCAGCCTCACGACTGCTGCTGATGTCAGCTGTTCTCACCACAACAAGCGTGCGCTCTCATTCACCAACATACATGTGTTGGTATGTTTGTGACACGTCTGCGACCTCAGACTTCACGCCTCCGTTTTCTTCACACGTCTTTTACGTTCAGAGCCTCTTGTTTTCAGATGTATCGTCTCAGACGGGATTAGCTTGGCGTTACGGAGGCGTCACAGCGAGGTGACTCTCTGATTATCAGACTTTCATTCTGATAACGAGCTGTTTTTTACACTGTAGTTTTAATCAGATATAATTTAGTCAAATTCAACCATCAATCAGGATTGAGAGCTTCTAAAACGGCTGCCAGTGATGAGTCAGCATTTATACTTCCTGCTTTTTTATTTTTGCAATAAAACTACTTTTCTAAAGCATTTGTACCAAAACATTTGGCTTCTCTTGGTCTTTTAGTTTCTGTAACCTTTATATTTTCCAAAATGTTGGACAAAAAATAAGATTTTACATAAAAATATAATGACTTCAATTACTTAAACATAAAAGTTGCTTAAGCTAACTGGCCTAAATATTATTATATGCTACCTTTAGCAACCATTCTGCTAATTTTGAACTTTACCTAGCATCCTGCTACTTTTAGTTAGCCTTATGATACTTTTAGCTGCTATTCTGCTAGTTTCAACCTTCGCTTATCGTCATGCTACTTTTAGCTACCACTCTTTTACTTGTAGCCTTTAGCTTTCGTCCTTCTAATTTTAGCTACCATTATGCTAGTTTTTGCCTTTAGCTGGCATCATGCTACTTTTAGCTTTAAGTTATTCTCATGGTAATTTTAGCTGCCGTTCTTTTAGTTTCAACCTTCTCTTATCCTCATACTACTTTTAGCTTTTTGGCTTGTTTTAGCCTTTAAYTAGCCTCATGCAACTTTTAGCAACCCCTCTTATACTTCTAGACTTTAGCTATCATCTTTCTACTTTTAGCTAACATTTTGCTTGTTTTAGCCTTTAGCCTCATGTTACTTTTAGCAGCCACTCTGCTTCTTTTGCCTTTAGCTGTCATTTTTTACTTTTATCCCTTTGCTGGCATCATGCTACTTTTAGCTACCACTCTTATACTTTGAGCCTTTTGCTATCATCCTTCTACGTTTAGCTATGAATCTGTTAATTTTAGCTTTAAGTTAGCCTCATTCTACTTTTAGCTACCATTCTTTTCATCTTTGCCTTTATCGAGTCTCATCTTACATTTAACAAGCACTCTGCACTTTAGCCTTTAGCTGTCATTATGCTACTTTTAGTATTTTGCTGGCATCATGCTACTTTTAGCTACCATTCTGCTAGTTTTAGCCTTAAGTTAGCCTCATGCTACTTTTAGCTTTTAGCTATCATTTTGCTTGTTTTTGCATTTATTTAGGCTTATGTTATTTTTAGCAACCACTCTGCTACTTTATCCTTTGGCTAGCATTATGTTACTTTTAGACTTTCTTGCTACTTTTGGCTACCATTCTGCTAGTTTTAGCCTTTAGCTTGCATCATGTTACTTTTAACTACTATTCTGCTAGTTTTAGCCTTTAGTAGCCCTACTGTTACTAAATCTAGCTAAATCGTAGGTTAAATATTTATTGCTACATTTAGCATTTAGCTAAAGTTGTGCTAAGTTTAGCTTTTGGCTGCACCTTTGTGATTTTAAGTGTCCTGCTCATCTTAATTATAAAAAAGTCATTGCAAGTCTTTTCCTCTTTAGCTGTTTTTGTTTCTGTCACCATGCTTGATTCTCTGCTCCTCCAGCTGTAATAACTTAATTAAAACCTTTTTTTACACGTCTGTATTTATAGTTTTGAACATTTCATTATCGGCCTGTGACCTTCCAGCTCATGAGTTATTGTTCAAACATCCAAAAAAAGTGAATTTTAAACTGGTCGGGTCTTTGTGAGCGGTACYGGTCCGGCTGAAGGTGGTTTCCAGGCCTGCCAGCTCAGCAGCGCCTGAACCCACAGAAACAAAAAGAAACCAGAACAAGTGGGAGGAGAACCCTTCAAACCGCCGGAGAACCAGCAAAATGTTTGTTTTTCCAGATGTGACGGCTTTGAAGATTGAGTTGCAAATCCAACATTTAGCTGCGGAGAATAATCTGGAAAATAAATATGTGGCTCGGCTGGACGCAGCCGGATCAGAACCTCTGTTTGTGTCTTCAAATGCAAGTGAAGCAACGTTTCTGCATTCCTTAAAGGAATGCTTATCTCCTGCTGCTCGTCATGTCWGAGCTGTAGACTTAAAACAATGTTCTTTGAGGATTATTGACTCTCAGCTACTACCAAGTTATAGACCCGTATCTGTACAACTGAACGGGTTGTAGCCATTTTTGTGTTGGCTAAAGTGGATCAGCCGTGGCGGCCATTTTGAATCAGGTGGACTACAGAAGGTGTAGTTCCAAAATGAGTCGATATTTTACTGAATTCAGGAAATTTTCTTAAAACAGAAGCAGTTTTTTATTATTTTTCTTGACACAAAGTTGAGCTTATACTGTCCCTGGTCTCTGATCCTGGTTGTGGTCTTCATGATCTGGATCTTAAGTTTTTTGAAATGATGTTTAT